AATAACGTATGTGGCGCGCCCAGCCCGCGCCGTGCCTTGCCCAACGCCCTCGGGAGGTACTCCTCGTTCTGGGTCTTGGACATCGCCTGCCACAGCGTGCCCGCCGTGCTGATCTCACACTGGGACGTGCACGCTGCCCCGGTGGGCCTGGTCTTCTGGTTGGCGATCGCGCCCAGCTTGAGGGACAGGTTGACATTTACCCTGTCCTCTGTGCCCTCAGCCTTCGCGCACAGGACTCCTTGGCCCTGCGGGGCCGCCGCGTCGCCGCCAGCCCATGCGAAACCAAGCTGCTCGGACCGCGCACCCGGCGCGGCTCCGACGCATCTTCTGAACGGGGAGGGGGGCCGCGCAATGGACCTGCAGCGTCGGACACTCGCCGCCAGTGAGCCTCGATATCCACCGCGTCTTGTTGATGCACCTAATTGTCATGCGAACTTGTTGTCACCCAGGAAGACGCGTGTCCAGGTGCGCCCTGGCCTCTTCATGCGAAGCGAACTCGGTAGAACGCAACTCACACTGGCACGGGGGTCGACGGCATACGCGCGACTCGCAACCGAGCCCTTAGATTTCGGACATATACCACGAGAAATACTTGTTCCGAGCTGTTCATCAGCATAACGACGGGCAGTGTAGAAGTTGTCGCTCCGAATGCGCATATTGGAGATGGTGGGGGGCTTGGCGAGGGACCTTTTCGTGGCCATCAGCATTGGAGTTGGCCATGTGCAGCAATCGCTGTCTTCTCGCGCCAAAACCATCCCACATCCAGCGACGCCGCAAGCGCACGGTGCTGGAGCTGGGACTCCAGGGGCCAATTCGACGCCAAGGGGCGGCGGAACCTGATCCTCTCCCCCCCCTTTCGCCCCACCTCCTCCATCTCCCTGTCCAGGTCCACCCGTGTCCTGCTCCTCTACTGTGCTCACCTCGTATATCGCCTCCAACGTCCTCGGCCCTCCTTCGGTGCACTTGATCTGCGGAAGCTCCACATTGAGAAGCGCGCCTCTGGTCTCAGCATTCCACAAGAGCTCCAACTGGCCTTCAGAGTGGCGCAGGTCGCACTACTGGCGCGCCTAGCTCTACGACGCACGCCGATATGTCCAACAAGAATTGGCCCCACCATTGGCGGGGAGGACTGGCGCCGGGCGCGGCGCGGGCGTCCCCCTGGACGCCGCGCAATTTCAATTTGCCCCGCGCCGCATATCCGAAAAGCACGGCCAGCACGAGAAGCTGCCCCTGAGGCTTCCTAAGCATCTCCTGCCACCAGCGTACCTCCACGCTCTCAGCGCACAGCGGGGCGTGCACCGTTCCATTTCGTCCCTGATCTCGGTGCTCGGGGGGGCGCGGCATTTCTTCGGGCTCTCGTTGGTGGCAGCTATCTTCAAACATCCCTTGCCCTGGGGTGCTCGCCTGGCCAGATGCGCACGCGCGCCTTCCAGGTGCTGCAGGTCGGCTTCGCTTGAGGGTCGAGCAACAACTTCCGATGTCAATGATCCCTCCACCATGCTTTTGCACATCGCCGCCCCCCCCCCCCTCCCCCACCGCCACCTGCCAGTCGCGACCTCCGACCAACAACTGCCGAGCACTGCGAACGCTCGTCTCGCTCGCCTCGCTCGAAAATGCACTTCAGGCTTGGCGCCCGCTTGAAAATGCAGCGCCCCACCCAAGAACGGCGCCTCCCACCAGACCTCCCCCATCATCCCGTTCTCGTCTCGACGCAGTCGCCTCGCGCCATCCTGCGCGCCCTCCCCCGCCCCAACAGGACCAACGACACTTGCTTGTCACCGTTCAACGCAACACCTATGTCCGCCAACCCCGCGCAGAGCGAACTGCACAGGGCCCGCGCGCGCAGGCGGCAGCGAGCGGCGCCCGTCACTGCGGGCGCGCGTGCGATGTCGCCTGAGAAACTCGAAAGCGAGATGTCCACGCGCTGCCTAGACAGCTGGCTCAAGTGCGCTCTGCCATCTGTGCTGTCTGTCTGGCAATGCCGAAGCCAGTGGACCTGGGCGCAGATGCCGTGGGCGCCCGCTTCAGGAACGCGTCAAGCGGCCGATTGCGCGCCCCCGAGAACTACAAACACGAGATGGCATCGCCTGGTCGAGTCTCCTGCCCGATGCTGCCGATGCTCACAACAAGCCTTCCGTCTGCATGGTCGATCGACGCCTGGGCGAACCTAAATCTCTCTTTAAACAACTCCGCGCCAAACTCATCGCAATGCTCATCAAGGCGCGCGCGCAGGTGCTCGCGCAACGCACTCTGGAAAGCATTCGCGACGTCGCGCGGCGCGGAGAGCCACCCCATTCCACTGCCGCGCCAACGCGCGGCGCGCGCGCTGAGCGAAAAAGCCCGGCTCTGGCGCCGCTGCATGGGGCCCCCCCCCGGCGGCGCGTCGTCGCGCAAATCAGTGTTAGACGCTTGTCAATACTAGGGGGTGCCATTCGCTGTCTCCATCCTCCTCCGCCAACGCTCTAGGCGCCAAATGCACGCGCTCGCTGGGCCACGTCGTCGGCCGCCACGCTCAGCCAGGAAAGCCCCAGCCGGGCGGCGTGCGACGCAGCCTGGCCCGCTTCGGTCTGCCGCGGACCTCAATGTACTCATCGATGCCTTGCTGGAAGCCGCGCGCCCTCCTCCCGCCCCCGTGAGCCCCCCGACCCAACTCGCCCAGCGGGGGCGAGGGGGGGGGGGGGCAGAGGCGCAGCTCGCAACTGCCTGCGACCGCGCCCGCGCCCGAGCCGCGCCTCCCGCGCCAGTCGGGCGGGCCTGCGCCTTCGGCCGTCGATCGAGAAATTCCGCGGCGCGCGCGCGCGACCTCATGCGCCCGCTGAAACATTTTCTGGCACCTCTGGCGCACGCATCCAGAACTTCTGGCGCGGCGGGCCCCAAAGGCGAATCCGCCTTCGACGAAAACTCGAAGGGCACTTGCCCGAAGCGAATGCATCCCGAAACGTTGTCGCGATCCCACGCAGCGGCGGCTGAGGCTTCAGCTCGAAGCTCGGGCCGACTCCGACGCGAATCACCAAAGGTGGTCTCTTCTGGGCGGGCCACTGATTACCTGCAACCGACCCCGCGCCCTCCCCCCCCCCACCCCCACCCCCACCCACGCGCGCGCGCGCACGCACACACACACACACGCACGCACGCACGCACGCACGCACGCACGCACGCACGCACGCACGCACGCACGCACGCACGCACGCACACACACACACACACACACGCACACGCACACGCACACGCACACGCACACGCACACGCACACGCACACGCACACAGTCAGACACAGACAGACACACACACACACACGCGCAGCTTACGCGGTTCGACACGCGCTTCGACACGCGCTGGCAAACTCGAGGGAGCACGCGCGTAGTCCATGCGCGAGGCGTAGTCTCCCGAACCGCGGTAAGAGGTCGGCCCCGTTTCGAAATTCGAATTCAAGCCACAGAGGTGATGGTATTCTACAAACTAGCGAAAACACTTGCCCTTGAAGTTCCCTTCGTCGAACTCAGCATTGTCCACGCGCGGCGCCGATTCCGCCGATCCGACCCGGGCGCTGGCATCGAGCGCGAGCGCAGGGGTGGTGCGCGCAGGCGGTATATCTAGTAGCTGTAAGAGGCCGAGCCAAAACTGCTTGCGTTTCTCGTCACGCGCCCTTCTGTCTTTCTGGGATCCGATGGGGTCCGCGCGTGCATGGCCGGCCACGAAGGTGAAGTCCACGCGTCTGCCTTTGCGCCGGCCGCCCCGCTGCGCCCCCCCATCGCTCCGGGGAAAAATCTGCCTGATCATGTGGCCCTGCGCGAGCCTGTCATTCAGAAGACGCCCAAGCCCCATCGGTCTTCCTGATGTTCCTGCAGCGCGTGACCAGCGGAAACGCTGACATCTGCCTATTCTGCCCCGTTGGCGCACTAGGCTCCGTGACTCCGTGCGCTGCGCGCCCTCGAGAACGGTCGCCGCGCGCGATCTCAGTTCTTGCGCGACGTCGCTCCACCATCCCTCCTGTCGCAGCGAGAGAACATTAAAACTGCATGCTCTGAGCCTCTGCATCGCGGGCGGGCCGCCCGAGCATGAACGCCTTGGGGGGGGGGGGGTCGGAAGCGCGGCCGCGGCGCCTCGGGGGCAGCCGGTTGCCCCCGCGCGCATGCCCCCTCGGGCCACGGGGGGCTGAGGAGGAGGGCGACGACGACAACGACGACGAGGAGGAGGAGGAGAAGGGAGGAGTTCGGGCGCCCTGGGGGGCACCGAAAGCGCCGCAACCAAGCGGCTGACGGTGGCGCGGGGCGCGCGGCGGTCATGGCCGCGGGGCACGCGTGGAAGGCGAAGTCGGCGTGCTTCGGGACAGGTATGAAAGGCGCTGCGGGAAAAGAGAAATCCACGCAGGCGCCCAGGAGACGGTTGGACCTGTCGACGCAGCTCTCATATCACGGGGGAATCATTGATATAAAACCCAAGAACCGGTAGAACCGACGACATGGACTCACCAGGAGAAAATGAAGGGGGGGTCGCAAAACTGACGTAAACACCTCCCTCACCACTAAGAGACGGCCACAAAACAACTGGCGACCGCCACCTGGGGAACTGCGGGGTTATTGCAGCGAAGAGGAGGGGTTGGGAATTCTGACGACGGCGCGGCCGCCCGACCCGTTAGCACCCTTTGCCGAAAGTGAACGGACGACCGCGCGGCCAGAGAACCCCTAAATCGCTTTATATTGGAGTCGCGCTAGTGATGCTCTCATCGCGGGAGCCCGTGACCAGGGTGTCAAAGTACTCGTCGTCGTCCGTGTTCTTCGCAGGCAGCGCCCGTGCTACCTGCGGCGGCAGGTCGTTCGCGTCTTCGTCGCACTCGTCGTGGGAAACTCCCCACACGCAGCGTTGCATGCGTTCTCCATCATCTCGAGCCCCAGGCTGAGGGAGGCGTGGTCCCTGCGCACGGCCCCAGAGAGCATCTCTATCCTCTAATGGAGGGGGGCGAAGAGTTTCTTCTGGGTAGTGGCTGCCAACGCGCTCACCTGATCGGAAACTGTCTTCATCATCTCGCTCTGGAGGGTTACCATGTCCTTGTCGATCCGCTGGTTGATGGCCTCGTGATCCGTGCACGTCGCCGCGGGATGTTCCTGCAACTGCGCGACGACCTTGGTGTAGAGCGTCTTGTGTGCAGTGGCTGTCATCTGGTTCACCATATCGGAGAATGTCTGCATCGCTTCGCCGCTGTGTGTAGCCATGGTCTTGAGCGGGTCGAAGAGCATGCTCGTGGTAACGAATGGGTCGGTGGCGGAGCGCACCTGCTCGGACCAGAGTGTGAGCGAGTCGGACAGCACCTTCTGCGTAACGAACGGTTGTTCGAATGCGTCGATATTCTGAATCAGTGCTTGCATGAGTCGAAGTGCATATTCTGTATGAAGAGCGATCGCACGAGCGAGTCCACCTTCTGCTTGGCAGGCGAGTACGACTTGCAATAATAATCCACAGAGACGATGTCAGACCATGACTGGTTGCGGGTCGCCGATGTAGCTGAAGTGCACAAATAAACCGAGAAGTCGCAGACGAGGCAGGCACTGCGAGATTGACGACGCTCATGTTTGTGATGTGCTTGGCGGTGTCCGCCTGCTCGAACATGCGGTGCATCTGCGTTTGCTCGTCGTGGTTCAGGAGGCCGGCCTTGAAAACAGCATGTGCCGCACGCTTGCTGGTAGAGTGCGGCTGGAGGAGCTTCCGGTCCAGGGAGGCGTGCAGAGCCCTGCCCTTGACGATGCGCTTGATGTCCTGGTAGTCCGCCGCAGGGGTCTCCACGAAATGGCGACCAGGAGCAGAGTGCGCCGTAACCTAAGAATGGTCCTGCTCGAAACGGCGTTGCTGGTCACTCGTGGGGGGCGTGCCGTGTGCAAGTGCTGAGACCCAGGATAGACAGCGCGGCATCACGAAGAGGATGGACTCCACTCGCAGGTGAAGCAGCACGAAAGAGAGGAGGGAAGCGATCAGCAGCATGGCGGCGCCGCCATGATTCCCGCACCGCGGCGGGGAGCCCGAGCGCCTGGAGGGGCCCGAGCGCGCGCGCGCGCCCTGGAAGCCCTTGAGCCAAAAACGGAGGAGGAGGACGAGGAGGACGAGACGGATGAGAAGGAGGAGGAGGAGGACGAGGAGGAGGAGGAGGACGAGGAGGAGGAGCAGGAGCGAACGTCGCTCCAGAGGAAGAGTCGCCTACCTACCCGTGCGCGCACGTGCAATATCAAGGCAACGAAGTAAGTGCTGTGGCCCAGAACCAGGATGCGCAGAGATGATAGCGTGCAACTGGTGCGCCAGGCTGAGCCTCAAGACCGACCGATCGAGCGAGTCATCGGGGGTCGAGGCATGGTCCCGCGAGGACCCAAGACAGAGCTTCATTAATACAGAGCTAGAACAAAATTCCCGAGGAAAACAGGCAGCCCACCACAGGTGCCGACACCTCAAATAATGTGACATATTGTCGACCCCATTCTCACAGCCGAATTTACACGGGGCCGAACGGACATTCGTGACATGCATCCTGGCCGCTGTGGCCGAGGAGGAGCAGGAGGAGGAGGAAGAGGAGGAGGACGAGGAAGGCGAGGAGGAAAATTACTTAGCCCTGACCACTCCATCTCAGCCACAGCGGTGGCGACCCGAGACCTCCGACATGCTGATCTTTCAGCCTGCGGTCCCCCCAGGGCAAGCCCTTGCCCTGGATGCTTCCTCTGCGTCCGGCAATCAACGAAGGGCGTTCGGCCCCTCCCTCAACCCCCCACCCCGGACGGGTGTCAAGATCGCCCCCGTCATCCTCAGCGCCGCGGGCGTCCGGCACTGAGCGTAAGGCCTCCCCCTCCCTCCCCTCCCCCCCTTCCCTCCCCTCCCTCTCTCCTCCCCTCCCTCCCTGCTCTTCCCCCCTCCTCTCCCCCGACGGGAGTCAACCTCGCCTCGTCGGCGCACCGCGCCCACAGTGTGCTGGAGCGCCTTCGGAGCGCAACGGCCGCACGCGACCGGGGTCGCTTCGGGAGCGTCGGCGAGGCTGGCGCTCAGCATTGGAGCTCGGAACGCATTGGCTGATAGTCCTGGGGCCCGCGGCAGCAGCCCAGCCCGACACCGACGAAGATCGAGCAGGATTGAGGAGGTGGAGCCGCTGGAGGCATGGGATCGGAGGTGGGCGTGGGCGCGGCCTCCCCGGAGGGTCGAAAACCTCCAGGATGCAGATTCGGCCTCCATTCCGGAGGCTTCTGCCATGCATTCTGCAAGTTGCTCTTCCTCCAAAGCAGCGGCTCGACCTCCAGGATGGAGGCCTTCGACCCCCTCGGTCTCCCAGAGGTCTCGACCCCTTCCCTGGGACGGGTTGACGGTTCCGGGGCATGGTGAGGGCCGCAGGAGGCCGAATAAGAAACACAACTTGCTTGTGTTCTCTGCAAAACGAGAGGAGGCGCGGGGAGGTCCCCGCAGGCCTCTGAAGGCCTCCCCCAGCAGTTCTGCCGCGCGCCCTGGCCTGGAACGTCTGCTCGTGCGACAGCGGCCTCAGGTAGTCGAGCACGCGCTGATCGTCGGAGCGGCACTCGCGGCGCGCGGCGCGAGGGAGGGCGAGGGAGGGAGGACGAGAGAGAGAGAGAGACGAGGGAGGGGGGAGGGAGGGGGGGGGAAGGGGGGGAGGGGAGGAGGTAGGACGAGAGAGAGGGTGGGGGGGTGAGGGGGGAGGTGGAGGGAGGGGGGGGGGGGGGGGGAGGGACGGGAAGGGGGAGGACGAGAGAGAGAGGGAGGGAGGGAGGGAGGCCGAGCGTCGGCAGGGAGCCAGCCGCCCCTCGGCAGATCGGCCGCTCGCCTCGCTGCGCGAGCAATGGCATGCGCCTTCCCTGTTGGGGGACACCGTCGTTTTAGATCTGGCGTGCGCTAGCTTTCAAAGGAGATGAAGCGCCACCACGACTCGCCTGAGGCTATCTGGGGCTCGCGTGCAGGAGGGCGAGCTTGGCCAGGGGCTCCTGGGGGAAGGGAGAGCAGCATGCTTCCGACACGAGGCCAAGGAAGACTTCACAGCAGAAGTAATGCTTGAACGAATCGGGGCCCAACCCACAAACTCGACAACGGGCGTCGGGGTTCGGTATCCGCGTGGACGGTATCCATCCGCTCCAAGTCTTGAAAGCCGCCATGCGCCACGACGGGGGGGGACGCGCACGACGGGAGTGGGGGCCCGAAAAGCGGGGCTGGCGAGGCGGGGCTGACCCCGTGGCGGCTCAGCGCGCTCAGGCCATGCCCACTGCGCCTCGTGATGACTACCTGCCAGACCACCCCATGAACCTGAAGACCCACATCTCGGGGTGGGGGTGGGGGTACAAGTTGCACATGCGCTTTTTCTGAACGTTCCCCGACGCAATCCCCCACTGGAAGTGGAGGGTAAATTGGGGCCTTCGGGTTGGGTTGGGGTGGACTGGCGGGTGGTGACGTGACACACAGGCAGCGTCAACGAGGTCAGAGGCCGTTTGGAAGAGGTTGGTTGGTAGAACCACTAAGCGGACTGGCGGTCAGAGTAAATTGGGGCTTCTGCTCGCCCAGGCAAGGGGCGGTTGAAGGTAGGAGACCATCGACTCTTGAAGCAGGAAAGAAAACCCAAATAGATCGGGACCTGAGAATCCAAGAGCTTCCGCTTTCGGCGACTGGCCCGTGCTCACGACCCCTCGGCTCGAGCCACCCGACACTCCCCGCGCTCGAGCCGCTCGTGCCTCCTCTGACCCCGCCGCTCAAGCCGCTCTGCCCTCCCTGTGGCCAGGCAGCACAGACTGCCGGCAGCAGGTGGCCAGTGGCATTGATGGAAGATGTGCTCCCACTAATTACCCTTGTCAAAACTAACCTCAACTGCGTGTTACGTGCGAAATACTTGTTGGCGCCCACTCTCCAATGTCGGTCATCGTGGAATTTCCGAGTCGCGCCCCCCCAGACAGCGGGCCTTCGACACTGAAGGGGGCGCGATCGAAGGGGCGAAAGGAAGCGACATGGAAGGGGCGCGACAACGAGAGTAGATCCTAACCGTGAGGAGCTTTGCGCTTAACCGTGCGTGATTGAGTGCACGCTGTGACTACACGCTGTGAGTGCACGCTGTGGTCAGCGCACGCTGTGAGTGCACGCTGTGAGCCCACGCAGTGGTGAGTACACGCTGTGAGCGCACGCTGTGAGTGCACGCTGTGGTGAGTGCACGCTGTGAGTGCACGCTGCGAGTGCACGCTGCGAGTGCACGCGGCGTCGAGGGCTCGCTGAGCTGATGAGCGCGCTCGCACAGCCTGCGCTCGCAGCGTGCGCTCACAGCGTGGGCTCACAGCGTGGGCTCACAGCGTGGGCTCACAGCGTGGGCTCACAGCGTGGGCTCACAGCGTGGGCCGACAGCGTGGGCTCACAGCGTGGGCTCGCAGCGTGGGCTCACAGCGTGGGCTCACAGCGTGGACTCAGAGCGTGGGCTCACAGCGTGGGCTCACAGCGTGAGCTCACCACGGCGGGCACGCACAGCAGCGTGTGCCAATCACGCTGTGAATGCACGCTGTGAGTGCACGCTGTGAGCGCACGCTGCACGCCACCAGGTGAGAAAGACCGTGAACGCACACTGTGAGTGCACGCTGTGGGCCCGACGGAATCTCGAATTGCTTACGCGCTGGATTTCTCCGCGCGGTCCGAGAGTGATTTCCTCTGTGGTGTGTGTGTGTGCGTACGTTTGTGTGTGGTGGTGGTGGGAGTGGTGGTGGCGGTGATTGTGGTGGTGGTGGTGGTGGTGGCGTTGGTGGTGGCGGTATCGTTGGCGGTGGTGGTGGTTGTGGTGGTGGGGTGGTGGGGTGTGTGTGTGTGTGCGTGTGTGCGTGGTGGGTGTTGTGCGATGTGCGGCGTGCGGTGTGCGGTGGGCGGTGGGCGGTGTGTGGCGTATGGTGTGATGTGTGATGCGTGGTGGGTGCTGTGTGGTGCGTGGCGGGTGGTCTGTGGTGGCTGGTGTTGGGTGGTGTGTGTGTGTGTGGTGTGGGAGGTGTGCGGTGTGCGGTGTAGTGTGTAGTCTGTGATGTGTGGTGTGTGGTGTGTGGCATGTGATGTGTTATGTGTCGTGTGTTGAATATGATATAGTGCGGGTGGTGTGTGGCGTGTGGTGTGTTGCGTGTGGAGTGTTGCGTGTGGTATGTTGCGTGTCGTGTGCGTGTGGTGTGTTGCGTGTGGTGTGTGGCATGTGGTGTGTTGCGTGTGATGTGTTGCGTGAAGTGTGCAAGTGTGTGGTGTGTGGTGTGTTGCGTGTGGTGTGTTGCGTGTCGTGTGTGGCGTGTGGTGTGTTGCGTGTGGTGTGGTTCGCGTGGTGTGTTGCGCGCGGTATGTTGCGTGTCGTGTGTGTGGCGTGTGGTGTGTTGCGTGTGGTGTGTTGCGTGTTGTGTGTTGCGTGTGATGTGTTGCGTGTGGTGTCGGAGTGTTGCGTGCGGTGTGTTGCGTGTGGTGTGTTGCGTGTGGTGTGTTGCGTGTGCGGTGTGTTGCGTGTGGTGTGTTGCGTGAGCTCACAACGTGGGCTCACAGCGTATGCTCACAGCGTATGCTCACAGCGTGGGTTCACAGCGTGGGCTCACAGCGTGGGCTTACAGCGTGGGCTCACAGCGTGGGCTCACAGCGTGGGCTCGCAGCGTGGGCTCACATCGTGGGCTCACAGCGTGCACTCACAGCGTGGGCTCACAGCGTACACTCAACACAGCGTGTACTCACAGCGTGGGCTCACCACAGCGTACACTCAACACAGCGTGCACTCACAGCGTGCACTCACAGCGTGCACTCAGTCACTCACGGTTAAGCGAAGAGCCACTCACGGTTAAGCGAAAAGCTATTCACGGTTTGGATTCCCCTTCCGCGTCAACAGCTTTGGAGGTTAAATGTTTTCGAGGGCTGCAAGTTTCTCAGGGCCAGGTTTCATGCTGTCAGCCTTCATGGGCCCCGCGGTGGATCCCCGCGGGTGCCCAAGGGAAAGGGGCCTCGACGGCGGCCCCAGGCTCCGTCCGAGCGCAGGCACGGGGAGCGGACAAGCAAACAACAACAACAACAACAACAACAACAACAACAACAACAACAACAACAACAACAACAACAACAACAACAACAACAACAACAACAACAACAACAACAACAACAACAACAACCAACAACAACAACAACAGCAGCAGCAGCAGCAACAACAACAATAAGTTTTTTAAGACAGATCGCCCTTATATGCTCGAGTGTCCAATAACGCGTATTTCCCAAACCCTCGATACCCGCCCTCTTCGTTTTCGATCGAACCCCTTTTGGGGGGGTATACCTTTTTTCCCTGCAGGCCGGGCCCCGGCAAGCGGCGGGGCGGCCGCGGACCGTCGGCCTGGCCAGCGGCAGCGCTGATCGGCGGGGCGGCCGCGGACCGTCGACTCGACCCCAAGAGGGACGGACAGGGGACCCACCACGACGACGACGACGACGACGACGTCGAAGACGACGGCGACGACGACGACGACGACGGCGACGACGAGCGAAAGCGAGAGCGAGAGAGAACGACAGCAGGGCCACGAAGGGCACGAAGTAGGCCACTAAGGGCGACAGCGGGGACACGAAGGGAATGCGTATGGGGCCACGAAGAGCGCGAACGAGCGGGGGGCCACGAAGTGCATGGCGACAGCGGGGCCACGAAGGGCATGCACATGGGGCCACAACGGGCGCGACTCCTGGGTGCCTGGGTGTCGGGAACGCGGCGCTTGGGCGAATTGCAAGAAATTCCAACGCAAGGCCACTCTTCAGTAAGTTGCAAGCAAGTCTCCAGCGAAAGCGCGACTCCAGAGCGCCGGGGGAGCGATTCCTTAATAAACTGTAAGGAATTCCCGAGCGAGAGCGCGATTCCTGAATATTATCCCAGCAAAGCAACCTAACAGCCATGTGTACGAGCATATATGGAAGGATTCTTCTTTAGATTCATGTTCGGATTTGACTGGAAGCGAAACGCTGCGATCAATAGTGGACGTGTCTGCAAAGGAGGCACTACTATCAACGAGACAGCACATTCTTTTTGTGCTCATTTCAAACGAGACGCTGCTATGCAGGGGTGTAGGTGCAAACGACACGCTGCTATCAATGGTTCCCGACCCAAACGAGACACGAGTATCAATGGATTTAATTTCGAACGAGACACTACTACTTACTACTACGGATGCGTCTGGAAACGAGACGCTGCCATCAATAGTGGATGTCTCTGCAAAGGAGGCACTGCTATCAACGAGACAGCACATTGTTTTTGTGTTCATTCCAAAAGAGACGCTGCTATCAATGGATGTAAGTCCAAACGAGACACTGCTATCAATGGATTCAACCTCAAACGAAACGTGCTGAGGAGCACCGTATCTCACTATCCACGGCTGCACACGAGTGCAGGTTGAGAAGCACCACACGAATGCAGGCTGAGAGGAACCACGCGAATGCCGACGGCCAGGCTGAACAGCACCGCCACAAAGCAGGCTGCATCTCAGCGCTCCTCAAGCTCGCGCAGGCCAGCCCAGCGCCTGTCGGGCCTTCGCG